TGATCCATATGATCAGCGGCCGGCCCACTCTGGCGGGACCCTCAAACCGTTCGGTAAATGTGTGCCGCCCACTGCCCTCAGATCTTCGGCATAGACGACGATCGGAGCCGAAAGTTGCAGAAGGTGGGATGGGAGCCCATCACATTTTGTGAAGAAGAGGAGGAGGGGATCATCTACCCCCACGACGACCCAATGATCATTCGTGCCGAGATCGCCGATTACGATATGGGTCGGGTGCTGATTGATACCGAAAGCTCGGTGAACGTAATTTTTGCCGATGCATTCAAGGGACTGGGAATTGCCGACAGCATGGTCAATCAGCAAATTACACCTCTACTCAGCTTTTCTGGAGATCTGGTCCAACCAGTCAGTAGCATCAGCTTGCCCATCGCCTTCGGCGTCGCCCCCAGGAAAACAATGACCTACGACCCATTCCATCAGCTTGCCCATCGCCTTCGGCGTCGCCCCCAGGAAAACAATGACCTACGACCAATTCCTCATTGTCGATTGCCCAACGGCATACAACGTCATCATCGGACGAACGGCAATCACGAGGGTCAAAGTCCACTTGTCGCCCCACATGCTGCTGATGAAGTTCCCAACGCGCAACGGTACCGGAGCCATTCGGGGTGACCAGCTCAGCGCACGGACATGCTATGCCACGGCCCTTAAGACTGTAGCTAGCAGACCGCCCATGGAGGCCATGACCTTGCAGGGACTACCGAACGGTAGTGAACCTATTGACGACCCGAGGGAGGAAAACCCAGCACTGATGGCGTAGCCTGCCGAGGAGCTCGAGACCGTAGTCCTGAACGAGGGGTTCCCCGATCGATGGGTAAAGATCGGCACTAATCTGGACCCCGACCTCCGAACACAGTTCATCGACTTCTTGCGGCAGCAAGCAGAAGTCTTCGCTTGGTCTTATGATGATATGCCCCGCCTATCCCCTGATGTCATCAGCCCCCAGCTCAGCATCTCCCCCCCCCCACCGGTAAGGCAAAAGGGGCGATCGTACGATGCCGAACGGTACGAGGCGATGCGTGCCGAAGTTGACAAGCTCAAAGCCATCGGCTTTATTAGGGAAGCTACGTACCCTGTTTGGCTTGCCAACTCGGTCATGGTCCGGAAGGCCAGGGGAGGATGGCGAATGTGTCAGGATTATACCGACCTAAACAAGGCGTGCCCGAAGGACAGTTTGCCCTTACCGAGAATCGACCAGCTCGTCGATGCCACCGCCGGGCACGAGCTGCTCAGTTTCATGGACGCGTATTCAGGATACAACCAGATTTTCATGAACCCTGCCGATAGAGAACATACGGCATTCATCACGGACCGCGGTCTGTACTGCTACAATGTCATGCCCTTCGGCCTGAAAAACGCGGGGCAACTTACCAACGGCTCGTCAACCAAGTTTTTGCCAAATACATCGGCGGCATCATGGAGGTGTATGTTGTCCGGCAAAATGCACCTTCGGTGTATCTTCCGGTAAATTTCTCGGGTTCATGATCAGTCAAAGGGGCATCGAGGCCAATCCCGAGAAAATAAAAGCTATAATCGACATGGAGACGCCGAAGACGCAAAAGGACATTCAGAGCCTTACTGGACGTGTCGCTGCCCTGACACGCTTCATCTCCAAGGCTACCGACAAATGCGTACCGTTCTTCAAAGCTTTGAAAGGGGGCAAACATCA